GGCCAGGGCAGAACAGCCCAGTTCCAGACATCATTAAACACCAATACCCAACCCACTATTACTGCCAGTACAGTGGGTCTGGGCGGAGCAGCGGCTTTTTTAAGCAATAATACCAGCAGCACCGCCAACATAGTAAATGTAACGGCCAATGGCCCGGGGGTAATTGCAGATCATTCAACAGGCAATGCAGGTAATTTCTTTATGGACAATACCAGCGGCGTAGGTGCCGGTGTACGCGGTGAAGTAAACTCCATCTTTGGAAATAATGGTACTGCAGGTGTATACGGTGTGGCCTCCGGTACTGGTGGCTATGGCGGTTATTTTGAACACAGCAGTGCCACCGGCTTTGGCCTGGCCCTGTTGGCCGCGAACGCAGGCCAGGGCAGAACAGCCCAGTTCCAGACATCATTAAACACCAATACCCAACCCACTATTACTGCCAGTACAGTGGGTCTAGGCGGAGCAGCGGCTTTTTTAAGCAATAATACCAGCAGCACCGCCAACATAGTCAATGTAACGGCCAATGGCCCGGGGGTAATTGCAGATCATTCAACAGGCAATGCAGGTAATTTCTTTATGGACAATACCAGCGGCGTAGGTGCCGGCGTACGCGGTGAAGTAAATTCCATCTTTGGCAATAATGGTACTGCAGGTGTATACGGTGTGGCCTCCGGTACCGGTGGCTATGGCGGTTATTTTGAACACAGCAGTGCCTACCGGCTTTGGCCTGGCCCTGTTGGCCGCGAACGCAGGCCAGGGCAGAACAGCCCAGTTCCAGACATCATTAAACACCAATACCCAACCCACTATTACTGCCAGTACAGTGGGCACAGGAGGAGCAGCGGCTTTTTTCAAGCAATAACAGCAGCAGCACCGCCAACATATTGAATGTAACGGCCAACGGCCCGGGGGTAATTGCAGATCATTCAACAGGCAATGCCGGTAATTTCTTTATGGACAATACCAGCGGCGTAGGTGCCGGCGTACGCGGTGAAGTAAATTCCATCTTTGGCAATAATGGTACTGCAGGTGTATACGGTGTGGCCTCCGGTACGGGTGGCTATGGCGGCTATTTTGAACACAGCAGTGCTACCGGCTTTGGCGTAAGCCTGCAGGCAGTCAACCTTGGACAGGGTGCTGTAATGATACTGGATCAGCAGGGAAGCGGCACGGATATAGCGCGTTTCAGAACCGGTGGACTTAACCGGGCAAGGATAGACAGAACCGGCCGGGGATTCTTTAATGGAGGTACGCAGAATTCCGGCGCAGACCTTGCAGAAGCCTTTGATGTAAAGGGACAGGTAAACAATTATGAGCCGGGCGATGTATTGGCCATTGCCGTGGATGCAGACAGGACTGTACAAAAATCGCAGCAAGCCTATTCAAACCTGGTAGTAGGCGTATACGCTACAAAACCTGGGGTCTTGCTTACCGAAGAATCGGCCGTCAGTAACCTGGAAGACAAAGTTCCAATGGGCGTGGTAGGCGTCATTCCTACAAAAGTATGCAACGAAAATGGCGCCATTCGCAGGGGCGATATGCTGGTAAGCGCCAGCCGCCCGGGTTATGCAATGAAAGCAGATCTCAGCCGCCTACAACCTGGCCAGGCCATTGGTAAGGCACTGCAGGAATTTGATGGCGAAACCGGCAAAATAAAAGTGCTGGTAAATGTGCGTTAAGCAATCAGCAAATAAATTTTCTATTATACACTTTTAAAAAAATAATACTATGCGTGTTATCATTTTTGTAAGCATTTTATGTGTTGCGGTACTCGTGGGCAAGGCCCAGGAAATGCCCATTAAAACGTCGGGGCCCTCAGCCTCCGCTATCAATACAGATGCAAAAGTGCCGGTGCGCAGCACTGATAATGCTGCTAAGCTGGCAACTACTACCACTGCCGGCAATAAACTGCCATTGCGCACCACTAATGATGCGGCAAAAGCCGTTACGGTTGTAGATGCAGAAAAATTGCCTGTACGCAGTACCGATCCGGCACCGGTAGCAGCACCATCCGGTGCCAGTCAGAAAGCAGCGGCAGAAAAGAAAACAACACTGCCTTCAGAGAAGCCTGCCCCATCCGGCAATGCAAATAAAGCAGTGGAAACGATTGATAAGGCAGCCGCTCCGGCCCAGTCCTGAGAAATAAACTGTTGCCTGTTTTAGACAACAGTGGCTGGCCAGTACATTTGCTGTATAATAGCAATGCCGATTTCTTCAAGCTAATAAAATAAAAAAGCCGCCTCAATTAAGAGACGGCTTTTTATTCGTCGGGACGACTGGATTCGAACCAGCGGCCTCTTGCACCCCATGCAAACGCGCTACCGGGCTGCGCTACGTCCCGAAATTTTCTGATAATACAACAGAAGGGGTAAAATCTTATTTCAAAAAGAACTAAATATAATCATTCAATTTCTCATCCTCCGGCCTTCCCGCCTCAAGCGGGACGCGCTACCGGGCTGCGCTACGTCCCGAACTATTGGTCAACTATTTCCTGGCTTGGTCAAAGGACTAAAAACTAAGAACTTTGAACTGAGCACTAACCAACCGGGTTGCAAATGTACATGTTTCTTTGAAATTCCAAAATTCAAAAACAACCATTATCTTCGCACAACTCATTTACAATGAAGTTTCTACTAAAACAGGTTTACATAACCGACCCACATTCGCCACATCATCGTTCCCGCAAAGATATTTTTATTGTTGACGGAGTCATCAGCGCCATTGCTGATACCCTTCAGGAAAGCGCCGATCAGGTGGTTGAACAGCCAGATCTCAACATTTCTCCCGGCTGGGCCGACCCCTTCAGTCATT